CCATCATGTACACTTGATTATTATCCTGATAAATTTTAACTAATTGCTTTCAATGGAGTGCAATTTGACGAAAAGTCGATCACGATGCTGCACGGTAAATGGGCATGAAATGGTCTGAAATTTTACACAAAAATTTGTTGTGACGATATAAATAATGCCTGAAAAGTGCAGCTTGCATCTCTAAAATCTGTATTTTTTCAATGCTCCTTAAAATACAACCTTCGTAAACCACCTACAGAAGAACCTCAACCACTACAACCCTAATGCAACCAAACATTCTAACCCAAAACCCACACACTGTACCCACTGCTCCCTCCCCCCTCATCACACACTCAACCCCCACAGAAACCTCCCACAGTTTCCCGCCAGGTATCCCACTCCCTCAACCCCGACGTTCTCCCCAGACCACAGTTTTAGAAATGAAGTTGAATGTTTAGCATAAAAATGCGGATAGAATAACAAATAAATGTGAAAAGGGCATGATAGAATCAATTAGACGTCTGCAAACATCATAGCACTTGCAGAAATAAAACTAACTGGGATGATGAGAGATGCAATCTTCCCACCTGGATATCAGATGTAAAGAAAGATAGAGGGAGTTGAGGGGGGACAAGGAGATGCACTGCTCATTAAAAACCGATGAGGAATTGAGGAAACGGAATGAATGACCGAAATGGGTTCAGTTCAGGCTGGGGGACGTAAGGTAGTTATTGCAGTGATGTACAAGCGACCACAGAACTGCAGGAAGCCAAGAGAAAGGATATGAAGAGAGCAGCAGATCAACGGTGGATTCACTAGCTGAGGTGGCCAGAAGACTCACACGGGTAAAGCAAAGCTACTATTCATGGGTCATTTCAAACACAAGGTGACTGATTGGGAAAACCTTGAGCCACATGGGGTTCCCGAAGCATGGAGAGCAAGATGATGGATGTGTTACTGGAAAACCTTATACATCAACATGTTAGGGATATTACCAGAGAGAGAAGGGAGGATGAGCCAGCAAGACTAGACACTGTATTCACCCTGAGAAGTTCGGACATCGAGGACATCACATGTGAAATGCCCTTCAGAGATAGTGATCGTGTATTTCTGAGCTTTGAATACATAGTAGTTACATGGAAAGGGCAACATGAGTGGGATGGAAGAATCCAAACTACAAAAGGGAGGACTACACAGGCATGAGGAACTTCTTGCAGGAGGTTCAGTGGGAAAAAGAATTGGTAGGAAAATCAGTAAACAAATTGATATCCTACATGACAACAAAATGCAAGGAGGCAGAAGAGAGCTTTGTTCCCAAGGGCAACAAAAATAATGGGAAGTCTCATTATTTCTGGTTTACCCTGTGGTGTAGAGAGTCAAAAACTGTATGTGCCAAAGAATGGAAAAAGTACAAGGGACAAAGGACCCAGGAAATTAAAGAGATTGGTGGAAGTAAGAGCCACAGATAAGGAGGGCGTGCCCGCAACAGTAAGAAAATGACATAGCATCGAAAGCCAAGTGTGACCCGATGCTGTTGTATAACCACATCAGGAGAAAGACAACAGTCAAGGACCATGTAATCAGGCTGAGGAAAGAAGGTGGGGAGCTCACAAGAAACGACCAAGAAGTATGTGAGGAGTTCAACATGAGATTTAAGGAAGTATTTACAGTGAAGACAGAAAAACTCTGGGAAGTCAAAACAGGAGGGTAAACCAACAAAGAATATACCAACAAGTGCTGAATGAGATACACACACCGAGGAGGAGGTGAAGAAGCTGCTAAAACGAACTTGATACCTCAAAGGCGGTGGGACCGGAAAACATCTCTCCATGGGGGGCTCTGGTGGCCTGGTGGTTAACGCTCTCGATTCACACGGTGAGGGCCTGGGTTCGATTCCCAGCCAGAGTAGAAACATTGGACGTGTTTCTTTCCACCTGTTGTCTATGTTCCCCATCAGTAAAATGGGCACCTGGGTGTTAGTCGACTGGTGTGGGTCGCATCCTGGGACACTGACCTAAGGAGGCCTGGTCACAGACCGGGCCGCGGGGGCGTTGACCCCCGGAACTCTCTCCAGGTAAACTCCAGGTAATGGGTCCTTAGAGAGGGAGCAGAGATGCTGTGTGTGCCACTAACAACAATTTTCAACATCTATTGCTACTGGGCAAATACCTGAGGTATGGAAGATGGGAAATGTAGTCCCTATTTTAAAGAAAGGAGACAGAAACGAGGCACTAAACTACAGACCAGTGTCACTGGTGTGTAAAGAAAACCAAGTCATGGAAAAGATTTTCAGGAGGAAAGTGGTGGAGCACCTGGATCGAAATAAACTTATAAGTGACAATCAGCACGGATTCAGGGAAGGATAATCCTGTGTCATAAACCTACTGGAGTTTTATGAGAAGGTAACTGCAGTAAGACACTAGAGAGAGGAGAGGGTAGAATGCGCTTTCTTGGACTGCAAGAAAGTCTTGGACACAGTTCCTCACAAGAGATTAATGCAAAAGCTAGAGGATTCGGCACGCATAACAGGAAGGGCACTGCAATGGATCAGAGAATACCTGACAGGGAGGCAACAACGAGTCATGGTACTTGACGAAGTGTCAGAGTGGGCGCCTGTGACGAGCAGGGGTTCCACAGGGGTCAGACCAAGGACCAGTGCTAGTTTTGGTATATATGAATGACATGACGGATGGGATAGATTCAAAAGTGTTCTTATTTGCAGATGATGTGAAACTAATGAGGATAATTAAGTCGAATGAGGATCAGGTAGAACTACAAAGAGACCTGCACAGGCTGCAAACCTGGTCCAACAGCTGGCTCCTCGAATTTATCCCCGCCAAATATGAAGTCATGAAGATCGGAGAAGGACAAAGAAGACAGCAAACAGAGTATGGGGCTAAGTGGCCAAAGACTGCAAACCTCACTCAAGGAAAAAGTTATTGGCGAGAGTATAATACCCACCACATTTCCTGAGGAGCACATCTACCTGATTACTGCTGCAGCATATGGTCACCTAGCAAACCTGCGAATAGCATTCCGATATCTCTGTAAGGAATCGTTCAAAATTCAAGGAAGTGGGGAAAATTGGCACGTGCAAAAAAATGGTGCAGAATGTGAAAATTGGCGTGGCTGTGTTTGTTCACCCCCCGATTATGTGTTCGTGACCAGATGCAAAAATTTAGCAAATTTTTTGGTCACAAACCGATTTGTTCGTGTTTGGAAGCGTTCGTAACTAGAGGTTCCACTGTACTTCAAAATGCGTCTCATCTGAAAATATAACTTTTCTTCATTCATCTTTCGTCCATCCCATATGATTGAGTGCCCACCGCAGCCGTTGTTTCTTCATAGCAGCAAACAGTAATTGTTCTTTATCGGCTTTCTGGCTGTTCTGTCAACTTCAAGGAGCCTTCTTTTAACAGTTGAAGAAACATCATTTACGCCAGCAAAACCAAATCTGTCTGTAGATATTTGCTGGTGTTCTTGGGATCCTTAGGATTATTTCTTATGATAACCTTGTCATCGTGAGTTGCTGTCTTGCCTTTTCTTCCACATCTTCCTTGACGCAGCGCTCCAGAGTCACCTCTTTTGACAATCCGACCAACAACTGACTTACCTAAGCTTAAAGTTCGGCGATCTGTCTGATTCTCAACTCACCATGTTTTCTAAGACTTGCAATACTTGCCCGCTTCCTAGGTGTAACATGCATCATGAATTTCAACAGTAATTGTGAACTGAAGAGTAGAATTTGGCGATACCACATTCACTCATGGAGCATGCATGCAGAAATACCCTTACAGAACAACAGCTTCTGTAGCACTGACGAGAGTCGCAGGGTAAAACCACACCTGGATGATTGCTAGAAGTCGACAGCAAACTCTTCTCAAAATTACCCAAACTACATTAAGCCGGAGACTAAGGCATATTGTGAAATACTCACAAAATTTACTTCTGTCCAAGTTAATTTGCATAATATTCACTGCACTTACATATTCTCACGTTTCCTATAAACTCTCTTTAAACTTCATTTCCAAGGAAAAACTGTCTTAATAAAGAATCCAATCTCCCAGTGTGCCTTTGTTCTGTGAGACGATGAGAGCACTAAGTAACGTAAAGATAAGTTAGAGAGTGTGTAATGATTCAGTAAGTGTAATACTAATGTACATTAAGTCAGAGTTTTACACAATAATTTTTATAATATGGAGAAAAAAGACTAATAGTAAAATATATTAACTATGAAAGAGTTATAAATTAGACACATGTGCAATTCTTGGGTATCTTTATTGAGGAAACGTTTCGCCACACAGAGGCTTAGTCAGTCCATACAAAGGAGAAACTTGAAGAACATGTCGGTTCTGTGAACCATTCATCTTCAATCCTGTCAGGCACTGCAACTTCTTTGGATCTTAATACTTGAGAATTCTTCACTTGCCTAACCCTTGGGCACGACCTACTTCCACATTGGACAAATGTGACACCACCTATGACTGCTGCACCTCTCCTGTCTACGGTTTATAAGCTGCTTCTCCGCTCATATGCCGTATTCTACTCAAGATTGATGGACTGACCACATCGACTCAAGGCTGAGGGACTGATTACCTCATTCTCCTCCTGTTCTTCAAGGTTCTCCTTTGTATGGACTGATGAAGCCACTGTGTGGCGAAACGTCTCCTCAATAAAGATACCCAAGAATTGCACATGTGTCTAATTTATCGACGTGTCGGTTCTGTGAACCATTCATCTATGAAAGAGTTCAATAATCTTCAAGAAATACAATAAGTCTAATAGTACGGAGCACTATTACGATGACTAGGGTAAATTAAGTCGAATTGTGGAATCAGAAATCTAATAGCAGAGTGAAATAAGAATAAAGGCATATATAATAAGTCAAATGTAAATTGTCAAAAAATAAATGAACACACTAAATGTAAAGCAAAGAACAATAAGCTTAGAAATTAATAACATCAAGTCTATTATTCAATGATGTCGTGTAATTCTAATGCCAAGATTACCTTGTTCTCCAGGTGATACCAAAGAGAGATATTGACCGTCAGTGGAACCTTCCTAAGATGATGTACAGATCTTCGTTTCAACTCATCAGTAAGATGTAGTGACAATGGCAAGACAAGGTTTTCTACACTTCTGCAGTAATCATTAAATATGCATAAGTTATCGTATTTTGCTCAGCAAAAGGCACATGTTAAACTGTCACTGCTGAGAATCTGTGAGTTGGAGAGACAGAGCAATTTCCAAACAGTGGTATTGCTTTATTTTATAGAGGTGATATATACAAGGTATAAGGAAGCAATGGTAACACGCATGTCATCGTACACAATTGAATAAGTAAATAGCTATAATAATATATATATATATAAATATATAAAATATATAATATAAATATATATAATATTATATATATTAATATATAAAAATTTTTATATTTTTAATATATATAATATATATATATATATAAAATTTAATATATTAAAAATATATAATATATATAAAATATATATAATATTTTAAATATATACATTAAAGCATATTTTAACAGTATTTAGATAAAGGTAGGGAATTTTTTTATTGCTTTAGGGTTTTAGAAAAGGCTATATAGAGTGGAAAAGGGGACAATGTGGCGATTTTGCAAGTTTATGGAATGGGTGGTAAGTTACAAATGCTGTAAAGAGTTTTTATAGGATAGTGAGGCCGGGGTTAGGGTTGTAAAAGGGGGGAGACTACTTCCCGTAAAAGTAGGTCTTAGACGGGATGTTTAATGTCACCATGGTTTTAAATATATTTTAATGGGGTTGTAAAAAAAGTAAAGCTAGGGTGTTGGGAAGGGGTGGGATTAAATTAGGGGGAATTTAAATTCAAAAGGGGGAATTGACCATTTTACTTTTTGCTGATGATACTGTCTTATGGGAGATTTAAAAAAATTGCAAAGGTATGGATGATTTGAGAAGTGTGAAAAGGGTGAAAGTTGAAAGGAACATAGGATGAAAGGGAATAGGTCAGTGACCATTGGGCAGGGGCAAGTGTGCCTAAAGTTCCAAATAGAGCGGGTAAAAAGCTCATCATAGAAAAAAAGGGACCACGGGCAACAGCTTCCTTTCCAGAGACCAGTGTTGCGATCCGGGGGAAAAAGCTGCAGCATTCGGGCACGGGGCCCACCCCCGGGGGAGCGGACGAGTATTCGAGATGTAGCTCTGAGTTACCTATGTTGTTTTACTTTGTTCGTAGTTTTGTGAATGTTTGTCAATGTTTTTTGCCCTTTAAAAAAATATATAATATATATATATATATATTTATATAATTATATATTTATTATATATATAAAAAACTGTTCTCGGGTGAAGGAGACTCGAACCACAACCCTTGGGAAAAAGGACGCATGCTTACCAATTCTCACCTCATGGCCCAATACCTTGGGTCCACTTGCGCTAGACTTTGATCCAAAGGCAGCCAGCTTTCAGGAGAAGCTTACAGCTTTTCATTTGCGCAAGTTTGACCCCAAAATTATTGTCCAGTGTGGTGAGATTGGTATGCACGCATCCTTGTTCCAAAGGGTTTCGTGGGTTCAGTTCCTTAAAAAAAAAGATCATGTTTGTTTTTATATATTTAAATATATATATTTTAAATATATATATATATATAATTATATATATATTTATATATATATATATATTGCTGGTTTTTTTTTCTGTCTCATAAACACGTAGATAACAGGGATATCTTCTACCCTATTTACACTTTGGCACACTTCCAGACAGCACAGCATATAATAATACTAATCAGTTTTTTTCTCCTTTTTCTAAATACTCTTTTTTCTTTTTATTTCTTTATTTCCGGGGGAATAAAAAAGAATCTTTCCCCCCTTAAGCCTGCTGTCGTAGAGGCGACAAAAATCCGGGGAGAAAAGGGGCTAGTAAACCCCTTTTCCTGTATACTTTTACAAAAAAAAGAGAAGAAGAAAAATTTAAAAAAAAAAGGGATGCTTAAAGTGCGTGGATTAGTGCGGATGACAAAAAAACAGGTTTGCTGATGTTTAATAAAAAAGAATTTGGGATGTCCGGGCTCAACGAAACAAAGTAAAGGGGGTAGGAGAGTTTTCATGGGGGGAAAAAAGGGATTAAATCTGGAGTATCGAGAGGTTAAGAAAAAGGAAGGGTAGCAGTAATGTTAAATGATCATTAGGGAAAGGGGGAAAAAAGAAATATGAATTTGAAAATTTCAAGAATTTTTGGGGAAAAAAGTAAAGGTTGGGGATGCAAAAAGGTGGGTCATAAAAGCGTGTATGCCCCGGGAGAAGAGAGGAATGTAGAGGAGAGAGAAAAATTTGGGAGATGTTAAAGTGAATGTATGGGAGCCTTTAAACCAAGGAAGAGTAATTTGGGGGGGGGCCCTAATCTAAAGTGGAAAAATTTTAGAGGGGTGTGGAGGAAATTTTTGGGGTCCCAGGTGAAAATAAAGGGACCCTTTTTGATTGAACTTTGTATAAAAAAGGGGTTTATTTTATAGGTATACATATTTTAAGAAAAAGGGATAAAAAAATATACACGATATGATGGGGGCGAAATGACAGTAGTTGTTGGATTATGTTTGGTAATAAAAGACTGTTGAGTAGACTTCGGTGTACATGTTTATAGGGGGGCCCACAGATATATCAGACACTTTCTAGTTGACTCACTGAGAAAAAGGGTAGATGGGAAAAGGAATAAAGCACGGGGAAGAGAAGGTAAAGGGTTTAAAAATAAAAAAGAGGAGGCAGTTAGGGTAAGTATAAACAGCTATTGGGATAGTGGGCTAAAGAGCATGGGCAGGGGGTCGAAGAGGTATGGGGTGGGTTTAAAAAATGTGTGTTAGAGTGTTACAAAATTTGGGGTTTCGGGAAAGGGGGTGCGGGGGAAGAGGAGCGATTGGGGGAATTAAAGAAAGGAGTTAAGGGAGAAAAAGTTACATATAAAAGTTTTAAAAAGTAGAAGTATGCAAGGGGGGAAAGAGTATAGGAGAAAAAGAGAGGGGTTAAAGGGAAAAAGGGGTGAAGCAAGTAAAAAGAGACAAATGAAAGGGTGGTGAGATTTATCAAAAATTTTGTAAAAATAAAAAAAAATTTTGGGTGAGTTAACAATTTAAAAAAGCCTAGAGAACAAAGGGTTTGTCATTTAAAAAATAGGAGAGGAGAGTTATTAAATGGAGATTTTAGAGGTATTGGAAGATGGAGGAATATTTTGGGGAATTTTAAATGTTGATAAAGATAGGGAAGCGTTTCTATACAAAAAATAAATTTTATAAAACATTGTATGTGGGGTTCGGGGCGAGGAAAAAAAAAGGGTAAGGCAGCCGGTTGAGGGTTTAAAATTAAAATAAAAAGCGGTTGGGGAAAGTTTGGGTGGTTGGGCAAAAAAAATAAAGGGGGTTGGTACCTAGGGAGGGCAAGACGCTGTTCCGTAAAAAAAAGGGGGAAAAAGGGATGCAAAAATTATGGGGAAAATCTGTTGGTGCCCCGGGAAAATTGATGGAAGTTAAATTTAAAAAAGAATTAAGAGTAAGCGAAATATCGATGAACCGGGGCTTAGGAAGGGGGGGGGGGACCAGGTTTTACGGGAAACAAAAAGGGAAAGTTTTTAATAAGGAAAGAGGCTTTGGGCTTTTATGGATTTGGAAAAAGGCGTATGAAGGGGGGGTGGGGGGAAAAGGGCGAGTTGAAGTTATGGTGAAGGAGGGGGTTTACGAAAAAAGTAAAGAGTTTTTACGGGAAGGAGCCAAAGTTAGAGTTTTTGGGGAAAAGAGGGAAAATTTTTTCCCCCGTAAAAGGGGGCCTTTAGAAAGGGTGGATTTCACCTGGTTTTTTAAATAATTTTAGATGGGGTTGTAAGAGAAGAAATGCGAGGGTCTTGGAAGAGGCGTGGAGTTAAAAGAAAAAAGAATCACACAAAAAAGTGGGGGTTGGGCACAGCTGCCTTTGGCATGACACTGTGTTTGGGGAATTCTGAAGAAGCGCAGAGATTGGTGGATGAATTTTTGGTAGGGTGTGCAAAAGAAGAAAATTAAAGGTGAAACAGGAAAGATAAGTATGAGGATGAAAAAAAAGATTAGTGAGAAAGATTAAATATAATGGGGGAGAGTATGGAGGGGGTGAACGTATTCAGTTTTTGGGGGAGTGGACGTGCAGGGGATGGTCATAAAGATAGGGAATCATAGAATTTGATGAGGGAAAAAGAGTGGTGGTGCACTTAGGAGCTGTGGAGAAAAAGAACTTTTCCCTTTGGAGGCAAAGAGGGAATGATGAGAGTATAGTTTACCAACGCTCTTATATGGGTGGAAGCGTGGGGGAGATTTGCAGCGAGGGAAAAGGCGGAGGCAGTGGAGATGTCATGCTGGGGGAATGGTGGGGAATTTAAAAAGCAGAGAATTTTTGTAGTTTTTGGGAAATTAGGAGGGGGTGCGGGTTACCAAAACTGTTGTCCGAGGGCTGAGAAGGGTTGTTGAGGTGGTTCGGACATTGAGAGAATGGGGCGAAAAAGAAGATTCAAAAGGTATCAGTCTGTATGGAAGGAAGGCGGGGTAGGGGTCGGGGTGGAAGGGTTGGAGGGGGGGGGTAAAGGAGGTTTGTGTGCGAGGGGGTTGGGCTTCCAAGGCTGCGTGGCGGTTTTATAGGTTAAGGGGGACAAATGGTTTTTAATACGCTGCTGTTGGAGTGTGAGCAAAGTAACTTTAAAGGGATTCAGGGAAACCGGAGGCCGGATTGAGTCCCGGGATGGGAAGTACAGTGCCCCGCACTCTGAAGGGGGGGTGTTTTGTTGCATTTAAAAACTGTATGTAAAGCACCCTTTTTGGCAAGACATGATGGAGGAATGATGGTGAAATTTTTTTTTCTTTTTCGGCCACCCTGCCTTTGGGGGGAATCGGCCCTGGATAAAAAAAAAATATTTAAATAATAAAAAAATATATATATATATATATATATAAAATAAAATATATTAAAATATTTACTATTATCACACTGGTTGATTCCCACCAAGGCAGGGTGGGGCCCCAAAAAGAAAACTTTTACCATCTTCATCCACCTGTCTTTCCAGAAGGGTGCTTTACCTACATTTTTAAACGCAAAATAACACCCCTCCTTCAGGTGCAGGGACTGTACTTCCCATCCCAGGACCAAGTCCGGGCCCGCCCGGTTTTCCCTGAACCCCCATAAAGTTACTTTGCTCACACTCCACGCAGTAGATTTTAAAACCATTTTTCTCCCTTCCTCCATCAAACACGCCACGCCGCCCTCTGGGAAATCCAGCCCCTCCCAAAAAAACCTCTTTTCCCCCCCCCTTAACCTTTTTTAGGCCGACCCCC